TGGCTTACTTTGTCCACAGAACACGGCAGACGTGATGTTTAACCACTTCCAAGACCAAATCTCGAGGTCTTTCTGGGGACCTCACTCAGACACCTGGAGACCAGGCAGGCACAGGTTAACCTTGAGAATGACACAACATTGTGTTCTGACCAAAGCCATGCTATATCTGTATGACCTCTGAACACGGTCAGCAGAGCCACTCACCCAGTTCTCCAACAGTACAGTTGCACAAGAGAGTCCAGCAGAGTTCAGAGGTATCTTGGTTAGCCTTAACTGTCAACTTGACACATCTTAGAATTACCTGAGTGGTAAGTGTTGATTGAGAAATGGCCTGGCTTGCTTGGCCCGTGGGCATGTCTGGGAGAGATTGATTGACTTGGTTCCTAATTGGTGTTAGAGGACCCAGCCCACTGTGGGTGACACCATCCCAAGGCAGGCAGTCCTGGTCATCACTTACTCACCCAACCTATGCTCTGATGTACTCCACCTGCCTCCCGCTTTGTGTGAGTCTCTCTCTCTCTCTCCCATTCAGTTTCCAGGCCCATGACTTCTCTGTATAAATCATTACAAATCACACACACCAAAATTATCCTCCACCCTCCACCCTCCACCACCTAGTCTAGGTATCAGCAGTCTTGGTGCCACCTTGGTTTGTCCATCTCCAATTTTTTTGCTGGCCGACATGTGACTTCATCCCATTACAAAGCAGACCATCACCTCTTACTGAGGATGAGAGGCTTGAGTTCTGCTCATTGCTTTGTGGTAGCCCACAGAATGCCTCTGGCCATGTCTGTGAGGCTGTTTATAGAGACCTTTAACTGGGGAGGGAAGCCTCACTCTGCATGTGGGAGGTACTATTCCCTGCCCATGGGGTGGGGTCTTGAACTGAGTCAGAAGAGAAATGGAGGAAGCCGATGAAGCAGCAGCGCCTCTCTCTCTCTCTCTCTCTCTCTCTCTCTCTCTCTCTCTCTGCTTTGTGACTGTGGACGCAGTGTGACCAGCCACCTCACAACTACTGCCTTGCTCTCCCTGATACGAACCACGGAAATTCTTCCTTCCTTGAGTTGTTCTTGTCAGGGATTTGTCACAGCAACAGGAAGACTGACTAATCAATCCAGATCTGAAGGATGTGTGAGTCATATTTCTGCCACGGTAAGGAAACACTGGAGGCAGCACCCTTAGAAAGTGACAAGGTTTATCTCATCTCTTGGTTTTGGAATCCCCACAAGTGAACAGGTCTGCTCTTGGTGCCTCTGGTGAGATGTATGTGGGCAGGGCAGTTCACCTCATGCACTAGGAGGCAAAAAAAAAAAAAAAAAAAAAAAAAAAAAAAAAAAAAAAAAGGCAGAAGAGTCTAGGCCCTAAATCCCCTTTGAGACCTCTCAAATGACTTAAGTGTTTCCCAATAGTCTCCACCTACCAAAGGTTCCACTGCTCCACCTCACAGGGCACTGAGCCTACATGGGCCCTGGAGGCTCCAACCCGCAGGAGAGAACCTGAACCTGAACAGCTTCTTCCTTTGCCCCCCAAACCCACCCCAGATGTTTCTAATTGCCTTGCTTTTGCTGTGTTCAGAGTACACAGAATGCTGATGGAAAAACAGTGTCACAGATCTCTGAAATATTTGTAGAATCTGTGCCCTGTTGGGTTTGCTGTGGGGCAGAGGGGCTCGGAATCCATCACCATTTGTTGGTACCTGAGCCCAGCTCGGGGTATCGTGGGTAGGTCATGGCTTTGGGTGGGACATTTCTGTGATAGGGATGTTTGGTTTCCTCAGGGCACAAGCATCAACAAGGGTCAGTGGAGGAAGACAGGCCATTGGTTCCCAGGGTGGGCCAAGAACTGGACCCACGAGGGGGCTCCAGTTGTCAAGCTGTGCTAGCAGAGCACCCGAAATGCCGAGTAGCACAGGCTGCTCTTCCCCACCCAGCATCTGGTGGAACAAGCGGGGAGGAGGCAGTTTGGGCTTCATTCTTTTTTAGCATCATGTTAAATTGGCCATGAAGCCAGGGATGGTGTGATTGAATTATAAGAAGGCTGGAGCATTAAATTAAAATCCAGGAGACAGGGGGTTTTGATCAAGGTGGGCTCGACTCTTTATGGGAGGCCATATGGATCAAAAAAAAAAAACAGCAAAAAACAAAACAAAACGGCAGAGGAGGCAACATCTCTTTGCTAACAATTCACCTCACTTAATAATGGGGATGCACTCATTGTGTGTGCATGTGTGTGCACGTGCAATTGTGTGTACTCGTGTGTTGTAACTCTCTGCAAGGCAACTTTCACTGGAAAACAGAGCAATTCCTCCTGAAGGGAATTTCCTGATTCCTTAACTGTCAGTGGACCCTGACAGTATGGTTGGTGGAACTTCTCAATGCCATTCCTAGGCTTCTTGCTTGTGGCTCTTCTGTGTGTCCTTGTCTTCCTCTCTTGTTCACATTCATCAGTCAAGCAGGCTGACCCTGTCTTCTGATGAGGATGTTAAATCCTAGCTTATTCCGGATCTGTGTCAGGCGCCAGTGACAGATTCCCTGTCAAGGGAAGGATGTCAGAAAAGCCATTGCATCACCTGTCCATCACTCATCCCTAGTCTCATGAGCTGGTGCTGGCTCTCCCTCCGTTGTCTTTCTCGAGGTTTCTCCCAGAGGTGTGCTAGTGAGTGTTCACCAGCCAGTTGTGTGTGTGTGTGGGGGGGGGGGGGGGGGGTGTGTGCAGCGGGGCAGGAGGCAGAGAAGTCCTGATTTGCTTACTGATTTCTGTCTTATTCCTGTGTTTTCCTGGAAATTTAATGATGGGTTTTAGGTGCAAGCTGATTCACCCATGCTTGTCAGCCTCTTGAGCCTAGGTCACCCTGATTTAGGCAGGAATCTGGGGCTCACACAGATCCAGGCACACATAGGCCTCTTTGGCATTAACAGCTGCTAGTAGAAAATGCACAGGTTGCTATGGGGAGCCTCACTTAATGCCTGAAGAGCCTGGTGTGCTTCTTTGAGGGGACTCTGAGTTGGCATTTGCTGGTAAGAATGGGCACAGCTGGGCTGGAGAGATGGCTTGGCAGGTAAGAGCCTGCAGCCGCTCTCACAGAGGACCTGAGTTTGATTCCCAACACACAAGTCATAGTTGTTTCTAACTCCAGCTCCAGAGGATCTGATGCCTCTTTTGGCTCCTGCAGGCCCTGTACTCACAAGAGCAAATGCACATATGCACATAATTGGAAATAATAATAAAATAAAAAGAATGGACAGGGGTGTAATGGTGTCTTCAAGGATCGATCGATTCGGTGCTTGGGTCTTTTTGGACCCAACGTCCTGTAAAGCCTGGAAGACCCTCCAGGTGGCACCATGGAGGAATTTAGTGCAAGACTCTTGGGATATTCCTCCTTAGCTAACAAAATCTTCCTTATGGACTTCCTGGTTTGCTGGGCGGCCACCTGCTTGTTTTGTCCTCCTGCGGTTCTGTGCATGAATTTCTGATGTTTCCCCCTGTTCTTATCAGAGCACAGACTGGATAAGGACACTCTTGACCTCACTTAACCTCAATTACCTCTTTAGTGGCCCTTGTTCTGAATAAAGTCACACCAGGCTTCAACTCCGGGACTTTCTCCAGGGCAAACATGGGAGGAGTAATTCGTTCACAGGGAGAAGCACACACTTGAAACATGGCCTGTGCTTGTTAGTGTGTGCTTCAGCTAGGAACCACACCTTGGCCTTTAAGTCTTTCATTGTTCTTCAACCATTTCTCCCCTTTCACTGTGTAGAATGTTCTAGTTTGCTCTCTGTGGCTGTAACGAAACATGGACGGAAAGCAACTTGGGGGAGCAAAGGGTTTATCTGGCTTACCAGTGCAGGCTATAGTCTACCATTCTGGGGAAGTCAAGGCAGGGACTTGAAGCAGCTGGTCACATGACATCCACAGTCATGGGCAGAGAGAAATGAGTGCATACACATGCCTACTGTTCTGCTTGCTCCCTCCTTGTCAGTCAGTCCAGGGTCCAGACCTGGTATAATGCTGCACACAGTCAGGGTAGATCTACCCACCTTAATTAACCCACTTTAGAAAAAACCCTCAGAGTCATGGCCACAGGCTGACCCAACCTAGACAGCTGAGACCCTCTTCCCGGGTGATGCCACACTGAGTTAAGCTGACAATCAAAACTAAGCATCACACTGACTTAGCTATGTCTCCAGCCCTAAATGCTTTTTTATATTATTGAATACAGTTTGAGTGATAGTATTTTGAGTTAAGTAAAACATTACCGGAATTGCTTCCATCTGTTTCTTTTCAAGAGTGGAGAGTCACAAACTTAAGAGAGTACATCATGGCACGGCCCTGGAGAGTAGACAGGGCTACTTCTTCTATGGAAAGGTCTTTCTTGACCATTTGCTTAGCCCCATTATCTATCCACTACCCCCTCCTTCCCATCCTCCACTTGGACTCAGTTATCTCTACACTGCTGGACAGAGGCAAGGGACCTTCCAGGTGATGAGGGGTGAAGGAAGACTTGTGCCCCTCCTTGCAGTCTGGCGTGGAGGGGGCAGTGTCTAAGACACACTGATTCTCGGTGCACACCTCATATGTGTTTTATGCCAAAGCAAACAGATCAAAAAGGGTCCACACCTCTTACTCTACCTCAAGTTGCTAAATCCAAGGCCCCATTTTACCCTCCTGCCAGTTCCCTGGTAGGAGCTAAGGGGTGAAGAGGAAAAAGTTTTATCTAGGGGTGGACAAGATGGCTCAGTTGTTAAAGAGCTTGCTGCCAAATGTGAGGACCCCAGAAACCCACATAAATGCCAGTTGAGCTTGATGGAGGACCCATAATTCTCCCTGAGACATCAAACCAAGATAGAAACTCCTCTCTCTGTTCTTTCCAAGGTTACCCTTATGTAAGTAATCCAGTGGATGCCTAGGGAAAGGCTTATGTGCCCCCCACCTCAATGTCCCCAGCCTAACTGGCAGCGCCCTCTGGCTCACAAGTCCTTCCTTATGGGGCTCTCACTCACCGGCTTCGAACAAGATCCTTTTTGAGGTTTACGATTTCCTTGTCTAAATACCTTATGCTTCTCACTGTCTTCTCTGGCACCTGATGGACAGACAGGAGATGAGAGGAAAGGGACATTAATACCATTGCTCCAGGTAGAGTGGTATAACAGAGGCCCCGTACCCAGCAGATAATCAACACACAAAGAGAAAAGTTCCACTCCAGCTCATGGTTTGGGAGGCTCCAGGCTGTGGCCGCCTGGCCCTGTTTTGCTTTGAACTTGTATCAGGGTCAGGGTGTGTGGTACAGTGCAATGGCTCATTTCACAGCTGGAAGGACAAACGGAGAAGGCATGCACCCAGTGACCCAGAGACCCAGAGACCTCTCACTAGGCTCTGCCTCCCAACAGCCCCATACTGAGGCCCAGGGCATCCAACATCCAAACTGTAGCGATGCCTGTCCAGGCTGGAAGGCTCCAGACATCTGCGCTCATCTCTACATTGGTAGGGGCCACAGGAGCACAGTGGGCACGGTGAGGGTTCTGGAGGAATGTAGCTGAGTTCTCATCTTGGTCTGTCGAATGACTAGTTGTGTGGACTGGGTGGGAAGCATTCAATCTTTCTGGGCTGGTCAGCATCTTTGGGAGAATGGGAGAGTTGTCTCTAGCCCTGCCTCCACCCCCCCCCCAAGGTTGAAGACTAACTGAATTGCCAGATTCCTGAGTCATAGCAAGCATTAGGCAGTGTCCAGAGAGCTCAATAATTAAAGGAGCTGTTGCCATCCTCAATGGTCTGAGTTGGATTCCCAGAACCCCACGGAGGGAGGGAGCAAAGAACCAGCCTAATTATGCTTGGTGTGTGTGTGTTTGTGTGTTTGTGTGTGTGTGTGTGTGTGTGTGTGTGTGTGTGTGTGTGTGTGTGTGTTATGAGCATGCCCCCCCATGGATACATGTGTGCAGTGGTGTGTGCATGCCCCTCCCATACAGACAATTAAGTAAAAAAAAATAACTTAAAATTGAGAAAAAGAAAGAACAAGGACTTAAAAAATTATTACTCTTTGTGTCATTGACAGTTGATTTTTAACAACTGAATCCATTCCCTGCCAGTGGCTTTGACCTCTTTATGCTCACACAAGTAGGATCAGAGTGGAGTACCCTGGGAATTATTTGAGCTTTCTCTTTTCACTTTTTTACTAGCCTTAACCAGACATTGGGTAAAATGTACAATCCACAACTTCATTAGACAGAACTGGGTCAACATTTAAAAAGGTGATTTAATTAATTATTCTTTATATGAAATCTGCCTTTCTTAGGACCCAGTTTGGAGAAATACTTGTCAGAATACTTTCTTACTTTGAAAGTAGTATTTCCCCTTAGGATCTTATGTAAGTAAAAAGAAATGCTAAGTAATGATGGGAAATGGGTCCCCTCAGATAAAGCTGGTGGTAGACTTATTGTGGAAGCCTTTCGGAAGGACCATTCATCCAGGACTTCCAAGTACTTTAGAAGGGAGTTTTCCCCGAGATCTACCATCTGCAGTTAAGCATCCTGCAGGAGACTATTCCTGACAGGTGTGGGGGATCCTCGGCAAGACCACTCAGTTGTTTATGAAGGCAAACTGCCTGCACGTCTCTGATGGGGAATGCTTTTCTGTAGGCTTGGAATATATGCTTCTCTTATTGGTTGATGAATAAAGCTGTTTCAGCCAATGGGCAGGCAGGATGTAGCCACACAGGAAGTATAGGCAGAACTACCAGACTAGGAGAATTCTGGGGAGAGGATGCAGAGGGTGAGTCATGCTGGAGATGCCATGTAGCTGCCGAGGAAGAAAGGAACCGAGGTATCACCGTAAGCCAAGACCACATAGAGATATACAGATTAATAGAAATGGGTTAATAATTAAGAGAGTGCTAGCCAATAAGAAGCCTGAGTCATCAGCCAAACAGTTTATAATTAATTTAAGCCTCTGTGTGTTTTTTGGGGACCAAATAGCTGCCGGACTGGGCAGGACAGTAACTTCTGGCTACACACTTCACAAGAAAGGACAGACTAAACAGTTCTGATGTATCTAGTTGGCAGAATGCTATACAGCAATTAAAAGTGACGTACTTTCAATGTGGTGATGAAAGTACCGTCAGTGATCTACGGGGATGTTTTGCATTCTTTTAAGTGAGAGGACAAGTTAGAAAGCACTATCTACAACATGATTCTGTTTTCACTTTAAAAATGCAAATATATTTTTCACACAGTGTTTCCTCTGGGGTTGGGGCTGTGGCAGGCTTTATTTATTTTTTCTTAGCTGATGTAGATATCATATGTGTTCTGGGATCAAACACAGGCCCTCATGCCTGCAAGCTAAGTGTTTTACTCACTGAGCCATCGTCCCAGCTATCACATGGAAACCTTTTCCTGGGCAGGGAGGTGGGGAGGATGACACTTGGTAACCAACCCATGACAATGTCCAACTTTTAAGTACATTTTTAAATTTTTACTTTATTCTTAAATTATATGTACACATGTCGCTCTGTGCAGGTGAGTGTGGGTGGCCATAGAGACCAGAAAGAAGTGGATGTTGGGTCTGCTGGAGCTAGAGTTACAGGAGGTTGTGAGCCAACAGGTGTGGGTGCTGGGAATTGAATTTGGGTTCTGTGGAAGGGCAGAAACATTCCTAATCACAGATTCATTTGTCCACCCCGTGTATTATTTCCATGGGCCACTGAGGTGAAATCTGCCAGCATATCAGGGGTCCATGTCACCACACTAGAAAGAGTCTATATGGCTGCTTTCGAGAATTTACAGCCCTGTGACAGCCCGATACATCTAGGAGACAAGATTGTCAGCGCTTCAGTGGGTCCTCGGCAATCACTCTCACTGTGATATTTTTTTTTCTTACAGTCACAATCAGTGATAGTCACCTGGAAGAGGGGGTTCTGGTTCTTGGGACACGTGAGTACCATTTGATATGAACAAAGCTAAATGTATTTATTTATTTATTTATTTATTTATTTATTTTGGGTTTTCGAGACAGGGTTTCCCTGTGGCTTTGGAGGCTGTCCTGGAACTAGCTCTGGAACTCACAGAGATCCGCCTGCCTCTGCCTCCCGAGTGCTGGGATTAAAGGTGTGCGCCACCAACACCCGGCTAAAGTTAAACGTTTATGAAGCATCCCTGAACTACTCTTTTAAAGGGAATCTTGCTTCATAGCCCAGAAAATCCTCAAACACACAATCCTCTTGCCTCAGCCTCCCAGGTGCAGCCACCACCCCAGGGTTCCCAAATTGCTTCTTTTTACAACCACTATAGAGATCACTTAGCCTATCTATCTATCTATCTATCTATCTATCTATCTATCTATCTATCTATCTGTCTATGAATGGGAAGCCTCAAAAGTACAGCCCCAGTCTACAGGGCAGCACAGATGATGGTGTCTCAAGAGACGCTAATGGTGCTGGGTTGTATCTCCCTGGTAGAACGCTTGCCTAGCAGGTGCAGAAACAGCAGTGGTGGCAGCAGCAAGAACAGCAAGTGAGACTGCAATGAAGCTGCACAGTGACATCATAGGGCAATGCAGTATTCCTGGGTAGTAATGATGGAGTCAGCACAGCTACTACTCTGCCACTTAAGTAAGAGTGCTCTAGGGGCTGGCTCAGTGGTTAAAAGGCTTGTTGCACAAGCTTAAGGACCGGAGTTCAGATCCCCAGAACCCACATAACTGCCAGGTAGACATGGAAGCCCTCTTGTGAGTCTAGTTTGGGAAGGTGGAGGTGTGGGATTCCTGGAGCAAACTGGAAAGCAAGACTAGCCACATTGGTGAGCTCTGGGTTTGATGAAAAGACCTTGTCTTGTTGAATAAGGTAGAAGAACAGTGGAGGATGGTTCCTGACATCAACCTTGGGCTTCCACATGCACACACACCCATGCACATGTGTGCCCCAATATACAAGTAACCACGCATGTGCAAAAGGCATACCCACATGCACACCATCTGCCATACGCCATACATACATGAAAATGAAAAAAAGATAAAAAAAAAGTACAGTGAATGCAATTGCATGTGATACAGGACACTTGCTTGTGGTGATAACTGTCTGTGTTACTGGCTTACATGTTTGCTGTATTGCATTTTTATGCATTTCTCTTATTTATATAAAAAAAAATTTGCTCTAAGCCAGGCTGCTGCTGTGCTGGCGGCAGCCTTGGGTGTCCCATGTTTAAAAAAATTTGCTCTAAGCCAGGCTGCTGCTGTGCTGGCGGCAGCCTTGGGGGGGCCATGTTTTTCCAGCCTCCTGACTGTATTGCTTTCTTCTGTGATGGATTTAATCTAGGGTGGTTTTGTTCGCCAAGTCCTGAGCAACAGGGTTAGGGTCTCTCATGCACTCGAATATATACAGGCAGGCTGTGCCTCCTAGTTTTGTACAAGTGCAGTCTGTGATGTCTGATGACTGTGAGACCCAGCAATGCATTCCCCATTGGGACACCTTGTATGCACCTTGCCCCAGCAATCCCACTGCCATCCAAAGAGATAAGGCAACATCCCCATGAGGATGTCCGACACAGCAGTGTGACTCACCCCTGGGCCTCGGTGCCCAGCAAACAGGCACTGTGGGGCTAAATCATGATTTGCCCAGACAGTAAAATGGTTTGATTCTGTTGCCAGTGTTTCATGTGGCTGTAGATGTTTGTTTATTGGTGTGAGAGTGTGGCAGTGAGCTATAATTTCAAGGGAAAATGTCATAAGGAAATTAGATCACAGAGAGTGCTCATATTTCCTTTGTCTAGAAATTTCTAACAATTTTCTATCATCTCATACAGATGATTTTTTTAAAAATCAATGGCAAAGAATTGATGTCATAATAGAATAATCTGGAAGTAAATACAAATAAATCCACAATAGAGATGTCATATCAGGGTGTCTGAATTGTAAGTTAATTAAACAATCACTTTGACTTGGGTTATTTCTTTTCCTAATTTTCTGTAATTTACATATATTAATTCTAATTAAATAATGGTGTCTTTCATGTTTGCAGAACAATTTTTGAGTAATTTTCTTGATGCAGAAAAATATAAATGTTTAATGTTGATTTCAGTTGAGGTGTCTAAGGTC